AAAAAAAAAAAAAGAAGAAGAAGCCTGAATTATATGTTATTATGTTCTTAACATATCTGTTAATTCACTCGAAGTTGGCTTTTCTTTTGAAATCCGGTTTTCACATCCATTCCCGTATTACTTTGAATACACAGGGAACGTAAAACAAACTGGAGGCTGGCTTGACTGCAAGTCTCGAATTGGAGGCTGGCTTGACACCAGTTTCCTTTTTAGCCAAACTGTAGTTCGTCATTTTGCTTCAGGCCCTTCCCTGGAGAGGATGTACGAAAGCGTTTAAGAAAGTTTGGGACCTTTTTTCCTTTTTTAAACCCCGTGGATCCAGTGGGTCACTTTTTCTGTGTTTCATCCATGAGTATCTCTGTGCTCTTGCTGCTCGTCGCCGCACACTCTTCTTGCACAGGTAGGATTTGGATAAAGGCGACCGTACAAGAGTGTTTCGGGTGTAGATGGCTTTTCCACGCTCCAGTTTCCAAACCAGACATTAATATATTTGTTATAAAAGCTGCCGGGGACGATCTCCGTGCAGCAGCTGCTCGGTCAAAACGAGCCCGTTCAGGAAGCAGAAGTTGTCTGAATAGTCAGGTTTTTAAGGTTTCTTCGTACTTCAGTTGATTCACGGAAAGCGTAGGCTTTTATTGAGGCGTGACAAAGTAACTTTACAGAAGCGCAAGAAAAAGGAGTGTTAAAAAAAAAGGAGGGCACAAAAAGGATAAAAGGACAAAAAAATAATCTCCTGATTGGTCTGTGAGAAAAAAGAAAAAAAGACAATGTATAAGACCATAAAACATCCCATAATTGCGAGACTACAGCGCTATGTTTCGAAAAGGGAAGTCGGTATATCTGAGAAACAGAGATAACGATCTTAATGCGTTTAAAAGCGACGACTGTGAAGTCGGGCTTTAAGGCTTTAAAGGTGTGTCCCTGCTGGTTCTGTGTTAATGCTGCTAACATGAGTGTGATCTTCGGTCATCTATTATGTGCTAAAGGCGTCGACTTCAGTGAGCAGATGTTTGCATTTGTCGAAAGAATTAAAAGGTAAAAACAGGAAATGGGTTTTGCTTCGATGAGTGGCAGTGAGTGTTTCACGTCGCCGTGGGGAAATTGTGGCCCACTCACCTTTGTCGTCTTGCTTTAATCCCGTCAGACTGGAGGGTTTCCCCAGCATGGACAGCTGTTTAAGGTCATCATAAACGCTTTTTTGCAGTTCTGGCTGCCAAGTGTGAAACCTATTAAGATAAGAAAAGAAAAGATAAGATAGTAAATCTTTATTAGTCACAGAGATTGGACAAACATAATAAGAACATAAACTTAAATATGTGATTGAATATAGATTAGCATAATCTTAGGACAATGACACCATGGAAACAATATAGAAAAACATTGTACTGTCTTGTACTGTAGGTATGTGACTGCTCTGGTTTTTATGGGCGTGTGCAGAACAGTTAGACTGTGTTTGCTCTGAATGTTGACTAACAGTTAAAGTCGTGATCTACCAAAGCTCAACATATGTTTGTTGCTGAAACTTCCAAAAGCAGCTTCAGTGACAGATTCTCACTGCCTGAGTTTTATCCTTTAGATTTCAGGGACAAGTTCACAGGATGTTTAGAGTATATCAGTGGCATGTTTGGTAAACACACCTCCCCCTTCCTATTAAATGTGGCCCATCATATTATTCATGTTGCATCCCGTAATCGTCTTTCAATTCTGTTGAAGAAGTTGAAGGTAGCTGGAAATGTTTGTCTCTGCTCAGCTTGTGATCGTGCTGTGCAGACAGACTTGTATAACCCCAGAGAATTCAGCAGTTTCACAAGGACAAAAGTGCAGAAGTAGTCGACATCAAACAGACATAAATTTACTTTCAGAAGTATTCTCATTGCACATGTGCATGACCTTTTACGTTGCTTTAACAATTTACAAGCCAGAAAAAAAACAACCCTTGAAAGATCATTTCCACAGCCTTTCTTTCTAATACAGATATGTGTTTAGAGCAGATTGGTGATTTCTTATCTGTAGGGACCCTACTAGCAGATTTGTAGTCCCTCTTTTTGTTAAAAATGTTAAAAAGGGTTTACTATTCTGAGCTTTATCTTCATGGTTTGGTTATTGAAGTCTTTTAGCACCTTTCCACACAAAATATCCCTTATTTGCAGCATCTTTATCTATTATAGTCAGTTTTCTTCAACATCAAACAGAGCCAAGCTGAAAAACTGCCTAAAACTGAGATGTTTAGCAGCATCTGAAGCCACAGGCATTACTCATGCATGCACATGCCCTATATGTATGAGTAATCTGTTGTCCTCTGGGTTTCTAACAAGAAGCTGCACCCTATAAATGTGCTTACTTTGTGTGATGAGTAACTATATTGTTGCTACACAGATAAAATGTGTTAGGAGAACTCTTTTCAAAACACAGTCATGACCTACTCACTGTTTTATGCCTTTTTCTCTTCACAGGAACAGCGGCCTCAGCAAACAATGTACCAAAGATCGTAGCCTCTGCAGGTGAAACTGTCCTCCTGCCCTGCAGCACCACTGCTAGCGACAATGTACCAACAGTAGAGTGGAGTAGGGAGGGTTTACCTCCAGATATTGCCTTCCTGTACCGAGATGGATGTGAGACCTTCGAGATGAAGAATCCAGTCTTTCAGTACAGAACAAACCTCATCAGGGATAAACTTCACCATGGAAACCTGTCAATGGTGATGTCCAACGTGCAGCGAAATGACAGTGGAAAATACCAGTGTGCGATTGTTAGGAACCCGAAAACAGTCATCGCAAGAGTGGAGCTGTTTGTAGGTACGTCCACTCAAAGATTAGAGCTGCATTTAATCCCCCTAAAGTAATTTTCTTCACTTTGTAAGTCTGCACGCACCTCACGTTTTGGTTTATGTTTCTTTAAACAACCTGAGGAGTGCATTTCACAGATTTCGTTCTTTATTCTAAGCAGCAGTAACTGTCTGCAGGGACCGTTTCTGCAGACAGAGGGCATTTTCACCCACATCATTTGTGACAAAGGTTCTCTTGGGTTCAAATGCAGATTCTTTAGTCATGTATCTCTATCTTAAAGCTCGGATGAGATTTCCTAATTGTTTCTCACAGTTTTCTATGGACATTTGAACTGAAATGTTGGTCATAGACAACAGCCTGAATAATGAATATTTTTGCAGGTGCTGTTTCTGAGCCGACACTCTCAATTGTTCCAGATGTGGGAGGTGGACTGACTCTGCAGTGTGAGGCCAGGTGTTGGTTTCCTGAGCCTACGATTAGATTTCTTGATGCTCAGGGAAATGAAATCAGTGCTGAAGACCCAAAGAGAGATAAAGAGTCTTTGGGATGCTTCACCGTCAAAAGAAGAGTCACTCTGCAGACTGCTACCAACAGGTTTCATTACAGTATTAATACTCAAACTTAAAGTGGCTCAATCTGGGTCATTTAGTTAAACTAAGTGGGATATGTTTTCAGAATATTTTCTGTGTGCACACTTTCTTCTTTTTCTAGAATAGCAAAGGAATAAATCCTAAATATGTGTCTTTTGATCACAGGGTCACCTGCAGAGTTCACCAGCCTGAGGTAAACCAGACCAGGGACTCAGAGATTTACATATCAGGTACACCAGAACTTTAACAAACACCTGGATGAATAAATAATTGTTATTTAAATTAGATTTAGACTTAGATTAAAAACAGTAACTTCTCAGTAAATAACAATCAAATTTAACTATATTTTGGATGTTAAAAAGCAAACGTGTTGTTAGTATATCTTCTAACATCGCATTACTCCTGCAGTTCAATGTATATGGGCTACAGATAAGCAATCATTCTAAATATTTATTTTAATATTTCTAAAGTTATTTAAATACAACCGGAGATGAACAACAGCATGACATGTTACATTTTGTGATTATTTATTTAACAGAAGATGCATAAGCAACGTGAAACCACATACAGCCCATGAATCAGTAGTTTTGAAAACACCTTGGGAGTGATAACTTGGTGTAATTGCTTTTTGCGTAACTTTATCAGTGTCTCACAATGTTTTGGGGGAGTTTTGGTCCACTCTTCTTCACTACATTGTGTCAGTTGCTCCTGTCTCACCACTAGGGATGGGTATTGATAAGATTTTCATGATTCCGATTCCATTTTCGATTCTGTTTAACGATTCGATTCTTTATCGATTCTTTTTAAAAAAGGAGAACACTAAGGTCGATTAGCTTAGAACTTTGTTTTATATCTTCTCTTTGAACAAGATAGAAATCGTTTGCAAAAATGGCAAACAATTCCATTTTACTCCTGTTAGACCGGCAGCTGTCCTGAACGTTTTCCATTTGTCAATAATCTTTTGCACTGTCGAACTATGGACTTCAGGCTATTTGCAAATGGCCTTTTAACCTATGCCAGATTAATGATCAACAACAGTTGCCTCTATAAGCTCATTGCTGGAGTCCTTTTTTTTTGTATGCATTGATCTGACCTTGGGGTGAATTTGCTGGGATGTCTGCTCGAGGCAGAGTTGTTGCATTGTGTTAGAACACACTTGAATGCTCCAGACCTGCAGACTTTTATTGCTCGTGATCAATTAATCAAGTGCGTTTGATCAGCTGCAGCTGGCTGCTTACCCTCTTAATTCCTATGAAGGCATTAAGGGTGTACTTTGGTTTCCCACAGACTGCTTTTGCATTTTGTCTTAATTTTTGTTAAATAAATAAAGACACGTTTTGTAATTAAATTATTTTCAAACTGTATGGCCCAGATCATATTTTTATATTTATATTACTATGCGTTGATATGTAAACCTTAGTGGTAACATTTCAGTTAAAAGCAGCTTAGAAAACAAACTATGGAGATAATCTCCTCGTGTAATGAGTTTTATTTTATCCCATTGTTCGTGCTTGATCTTATTTTTTTTTTTTAAAATCATTTCAGATGAATGCATGAAATCCTCCACTCGAATCATCGCAACTGCTGTGGTGACGACCATCATGGTGCACACAGTAATCTGTGTTTTTACTTTGCTCTTTTTAGTCCAGAGAGGTTACTTGTCTGGTAAGTCAGTTTTTTTTGGCTCTATGTTTAACTGTTACTAAGTATTTTTTCATTCACTAACATTTGTCATTGTTGTAAGATCAGTGACCGTCAGGAGTGAAAGAAGTGCTAACTGTATATTTTTTTTGTGTTCATACAGTGGGACGACAAAAATCGAGCTTGGAGAAAGACGAGATCAAGCGATTAACTAAAGAGCTGAACGACCTCAAATCCAGGCAGAGTCCAGCACAACAGTCCAGCCAGTCCTCAAATAACCCTAGATCCTCACCAGGCACCTCTGAATGTGGCATCCCACCCCCACCAAAGTCTCCCTACCAAAGCAAGCCCCTTAAGCCAGCATCCTCAGCCAACGGCAGCCATCCAAAATCTGGCACCTTACCCCAGACTAAGGACTCAAAACCTGTTGCGTTAAGACAAAATCCAGCACGCAGCCCACAGATGAGAAGAAGCAGTTATGGCGGCAGTTCTGCTGTCTCAATAACTAATGATGCTGTGTCATTCACTCCTCTAGATTCAAAAGAAAAACCTTTTCCCCGTTCAACTAGTCTGTCTGTGAAACGGACTCATGGAGTCATTCCAAGGTCTCCACGCAGGAATACTCTCTCAGGCATTTCTAACAACCCATACGGTGTCCTGGCAGATTTATCCGAAGATGAAAATCTGATTGGATAAAGAGTGATAACTAAATGTGATCAGGCAGATTTAAAAATTGTATAAATAATAATAATAATAATGGATTGGATTTATATAGCGCTTTTCAAGGCACCCAAAGCGCTTTACAATACCAATATTCATTCACTCTCACATTCATACACTAAATGAAACATCTCAGGTTAGTGACTGAATCTTAGTAAAAGCTGTCAGTTAGATGGAAGTTTGGGTGGTTTGGAAAAAAAAAGGAAAAGTAACGTATGTGTACAAAATTCTTCCCACTGAGCCTCTAAAGCCGGCTGAATCATCAGCTTCGAGCAGCTAAGATCTCCGTAGCAGATTACCCTAAATCTTTGCAGCTTGAGAGTGATCCATATTGTAATAGCTGTTACACAAGGCTGCCTATAAGAAAGGTTTTAGTGTAATCTATTTATAAAATAGAAACTTGCAATAAGTTGTTGACCACTACTATTCCTGCAAGATGCTGACATTCAGTCACAGTATTTGGGTCAGATTGACCCTCATTTACTAGTTTATTAACAGCATGTAGACACAAATCTGTTGTGTGTGTTTTATCCCCATTCCCATATAGTTTGTTCATACTTTATGAACAAATAAAGGCAAGCACTGCCAACATTTCAAATGAATACTATTTTACCACTACTACTATTTTTCTTTTACTTGAGCCACAGTGAATGTCTCAGTTCAATGCAATTCATTTTTATATTTATGTAGTACAAAATCACAGCAACAGATTGCCTTAAGGTGCTTTATATTGTAAAGATCCTACAATAATATGAAAGTGTGAATTCTATTCAGAGCCTCTGTTACTTCAGCCTTACTGTTTTCCATCACTTTGATGGAAAGCACAAATGCTTTAAGTGTTTACTTTTCACTCCTGGGACTTTGTTGCCGGGAATTAAATTCTTGTTGTTTCGCACTTTTCTCTTTAATGTGATGTTTATAAATGATGTCATTTTGCATTTGTGTTCAATTACAGAGATTCAACTGATGGGGTTTTGTACAGTTTCATGGTATAAAAGTTACATTTGTTAAAAAATTGATCGTGCTGCAGTCTTTGTGCATTAAATGAGACTAAATAAAACCAGAGTGCTTCCTGTCTATGAGCAGTATATTATTGAAAACTTTGCAAGCTGCAGATTGAAAAGTTTGAAGTTTTATTATATTTATAGGAATAAACACTTGATCATCTTTGATCCAGTAAGAATTGAGGTTTTGCCACATTTAGTGTTATCAAATAAGGAAGCTTTTTTGTTTTATTTGTAAACATTTATTTTTACACTGTTCAAAAAATCAAAAGGACACTTTTTAAATTGATATTAGCATCATGTCAGAAAATGAATTTACAGCACCTTACTAAAGGCAGTAGTAATAAGGTAACAATAACATCTCTCTTTCTATGACCCTACATCAAAAAGTCCTCGGTGGACATTAAAGCTGGACCTCAGTGGCATTTTGGACACTAAGCAGCTATTGTCAGTAGATGTCAGGCTGACACTGAGGGCAAGAAAGACACACACTCACATTCAAACATACTCTACACACCAACATGATACACATTGTTATTTGGTTGAAATATTAACCCTTTGTGTTGTGAATTAACTGCTTATATTATTTAAACCTGGCCATTCTCTGTGTGTGCAAACTAACATTGTTTTAGTTGTTTTACACAACACAACCTTAACCATGAATACAATAATTTTAAGAAATCAACATTAACTGCATCTGTTTAATTAGCTGACAGAGAAATGTGTGAGAGAGAAAAGCGGTGTCACACTTCTCCAAGTTGACTTTTATCAGCAGGTGCTGGGTTTGAATCCTCCATGAAGCTGACAGTTGTTTTTAATCTATAAAGCATATTTGTATGCTCATGCCTGACTGCTGAGAGGAGCTAAAAATAAACACTTTATAATTACAAAGTTGCAATATTTTCACAATACTTCCCTGCTGTTTAAATAATTTTAATATAAATTTACCTGTTACCTGCCGATATAATCAAACACATGAATCTTAATTAATTTATGTTGATTTATGAAACACATAAAAGAGTCTTCCTTACCTCCTTTGGGATGAAAAAATCACATAAAAACACAACTTAATGTCCCACTTTTCCCACTAACACTACCTTTTTTCGTTAAAATCCTTTGACTTGTTTTTGAGCCTTGTAAATGATGAAATTTGCTCCATAAGCCTGAAATATGTTGACAGCTTTGGTTGTGTGTGCTGTAATTTGCAGTTTCTTATTTCAGTTTCACTTGCTCAGCACACTGGTCGACAAAAGATGTGCAAACTATAAGAAACTCTGACCTTAACACTGACCTATAAATCATTCAAGTGTTATAAGGCTCCAAAATCAAGAGATGAACCAGCGTTTAAACAGAAAGCAGACAGAAATACCGAAAGCACTTAGGTGTTAAAAAAAGTTGCGTGTGTGACTGTGTGAATGGATGAATGTGTCATATAGTACAATATGTACTATATAAAGCCTCCGAGTGGTCAGGTATAGTAGAAAAGCGCTATAGCATCCAGCATTACGAAGCTACTTTCAATTTAATGATGATTAATAAACTTATAATAGATGATGAAAGGAAACCTACCTGTATAAGAAGAAGTACTTTGATTGTTGTCTACTAAGAGCTATAAATGTGTAAAATTATCAGACAGCATGATGAAATTATGGCTCTGATCCCGCCTTCTTCTCTTTTTACGACTTGAACTACAACAGTCGAAACTGTTCCGCTTCGTCTGTGTCGGGCTGCTCTCTGAAGAGGAACCATGGACGAAGTCAACAAAGTTTGTTTTGATGCCTGTTTGAACAGGTCGCTGTGGTTTGTCCTGCTCGCCGCTGTCCTGTCCTCATCTTGTTGTACAGGTGAGATTTATGGATTTGTGTTTTCAGCGAGTCACTTTACAAATGTTAACACAGAGTCGCTGTAAAAGTGCGTATCTGTCTACCTTTAATACCTTTGCTAAAGTTTCTGTATTATTCAGTCTATCGAAGTTCTGACGATAAAAGCAGGATGTTTGTTTGACTATTTGTTTACATTTTGAGGAAACAAGCTCAAAATCTGTGTGTCAGTCATTTAAAGAGCTTCTCTGTGTTTAAACTTAAAACGCTGAGCGATATTACCAAATGTTTCTCACAATCTGAATGTTGCAGTTCATTTCTACGTTTAGGGGAAGTTCATTTTGACCGACATGACTCGACTAAATTGACACCCAGTTCCTCAATTCTCATTTCAAGTTGAAGTTCACTCACTTCCAAAGGTTATTTTTGGATCATTTCTGTTGTAGAGCACCGACTGCAGTCAGCAGGGAAATCACACTGCTGCTGTTGTTTGTGTGCAAACAGCAAATGACCACAGTTTCCAAAATAAAGCCATTTACTGTGACATCAGTGTGCGCAATGTGTGACACAAGTACAGTAACTTTTTTTTCAGAGTACTTTTTGTGTACGTTTATCGGTGATTTTGCTGTCACGGTTGCAGCAGAGAGTAACAGTGTGGTTTTGTGCTAAAAAAATGTGTTTTTAATGTGTTTTCTTTATAACTGTCCCTCAGTTTTATTGCAAAGTTTCCTACAAATGTTTGTTCTGCATTTATTTGACTCACGTTATGCAGAAAGTTTAAGAATCTGCCTCACATGACAGGAATTCCTTCGTTGCGCATGCTATAAAAAAGGCAACAAAACAAAAATTGAAGTAAATTTACTACTTGCACGTACACAGAAATGTTTCAGTGTATTTGTGCATGACGTTTTACCTGCCTGGAACTGTGAGTCTCCTGCTGGAAAAATTATTATGACATTTTGTCTGATTTTTTTTATTTGACGTTATGCAGGGATAAACTATCCACAGAGACTGCAACTGTCTCCTCCTTATTTCAGACAAAACAGACACCTTATCTTAAAGACACCACATCGCACTAACAGATTAACATCGCTCTCAGACATGTGGTTCGTCTGATATTTAAAGCAGAATGAGGAGGCAGCGCCTTCAGCTTTCAGACTGCCCTTCTGTGGAACCAGCTCCCAGTTTCTTACACTCTAAAGCACCTTTAGCTGTTGTAATTTCTCGCTATATACAGGCTGAAAACATGCTTTTCTTATATGGTAAAGTTGGGCA